TTCGCCCCCCGGGGGGCGAATATCCTAGGAATATCGCCCCCCTTTTGAGAGGGGGGCGAATCTCCTGGGGGGGCGAATCTCCTGTGACACCGGCAATATAAAATGCTAGTTTTGAATCTTTTACCCATTTTGATGAGATGTCCTCCGCTCTCTAAGAAATGAATGATAAGTTCATTGAGGTCCTCGTACTGGTAATCACAGCCTTGCCAGAGACAGTCGTACGCCATACCGGGTCCAGTGAAGTACGAAGGAGGGGGAGAGGTGACTGGAACTTGTGCTTTAATTGCTGCTTGGGCAGCCGCTCGTGCTTCCCATTCTTCCCGCTTCATTGGACTCAAGTTCTTCCACTAACAAGAAATATGACTGGATTATTTTGGGCATCTCGCAACTGGATTCTGTGGCTCAGTTGGTTAGAGCGCTGCACCGGGAAACGCAGAGCCGCAGTTCGATTCCTGCCAGAGGGCCTGGCCACAGAATAAGATACACAGAAGGCGGACTTCTTGGTTTTTCCTATGATTTCCCTATTCAAATGCTTACGCCATGGTCCTAACCAGTGCGCGTTTGAGAGGCATTCACCCCCTGATAATATTCAAAATGGCGGACGTCCAGGAGGGGAATGCCTCTCAAACGCGCACTGGCTAGGACCATGGCGTCAGCATTTTGATGATGAATCATGGCGTGACAGCGGTTACTCGAGTCGACCTTTTGTGTGCCTTATTCTGTGGCCTGGCCCTATAGTTGCATTAAATATATAGAATGTACACTGGGAACCTCCTATCATACCCTACCTCAGTCCCCACCAGTCTACTGATGTCCCCAAAGCCGTGGTCTGGATACTGTTTGCGTAAGACACCGCGTCTCTCTGCTGAGAACACCAGGAATCCTGATTGAGGACGAAAACGTTTCTTTGCGGACTAAGGAAAATAACAGGATGTAAGGTAACACTTAACTACACTAACTCTATTCATACTGGATAGCCCTATCAGTACTCTTATTGATCTAGTATTTCTACAGGAGGAACTTCATTGATATTAGATAGCTCTATCAGTTCTAAACTGTTCTTCCTAGAGGTCCAGTGAGGATCATCTCTTATTGATCCAGTGTTACTACAGGAGGAAATCTAAAGTAAAATAATATTGTTTATACCGTATACTTCTATTAGTGTGAAACTGTTTTCCCTAGAGGTCCAGTCAACTTGTTTGTACAGGAGGAAACCGGGCTATCCAGAGAAAACCTCTGGTGTTTGGAACAGTAGAGTCAAACTGGAAGCACTCTTTTCGCATGCAACTGATGCGAAATTATAATGAGACCACTGCATATTGGTGAATTACTCCCCAGTGACTGAGATAAAAGGCACATGCACTGACCACTATACCATCACCACAAAACAAATATCAAACCTTGCCCGACTCTGCATCGCCTGCAGAAGAAGAAGAAGGAGAAACAATCCTGTCATCTCGACGAAGTTCACTCAAATCTTTCACCAACAATGGCGATGGTTTCTAAAACAAAACACATGGAAATTGAAATACAAGTTGAAATTCACATTGGAATTCAATTGAAAATACTCAATATAAAATAAACATTTTTTCTTACTTTGACAAGATTGAGGTTTTCTTCAAAGAAGTAGAATTCTTCTTCATAGACACTGGTCGATAACGTTGGTCTCTAGAAAATAAGTTCGTAAACAGTTTCTTGTTTACATTTTATTCAGGCAATCGATTGAACCCCGACCCCACCCTAACTAACCCCAACCCTAACCCCCGCATTAAACCGACCCCGCCCCTAATCCCAATCTTAACATATAGAGAGATCGCTTGAATTCAAATGTACCTTCAAACCCTTCAGTTTCCTGTAATGTCCTCCTTCATCCTCATCGTATCTTGATTCACAGAGGTAGACATCCTCTTCAGGGACATCAGTTGCACGACCTTCAATACAACAATACCATCTCGCAACTTGTCAACAAGCAAGCTTGTCAACAAGTTGTGTTCGCAACAGGCTTGTAGCAAGCTTGTCAACAAGATGTGTTCGCAACAGGCTTGTAGCAAGCTTGTCAACAAGATGTGTTCGTAACAGGCTTGTAGCAAGCTTGTCAACAAGATGTGTTCGCAACAGGCTTGTAGCAAGCTTGTCAACAAGATGTGTTTGTAACAGGCTTGTAGCAGGCTTGTCAACAAGATGTGTTTGTAACAGGCTTGTAGCAAGCTTGTCAACAAGATGTGTTCGCAACAGGCTTGTAGCAAGCTTGCCAACAAGATGTGTTCGCAACAGGCTTGTAGCAAGCTTGTCAACAAGATGTGTTTGTAACAGGCTTGTAGCAAGCTTGTCAACAAGATGTGTTTGTAACAGGCTTGTAGCAAGCTTGTCAACAAGATGTGTTCGCAACAGGCTTGTAGCAAGCTTGTCAACAAGATGTGTTCGCAACAGGCTTGTAGCAAGCTTGTCAACAAGATGTGTTTGTAACAGGCTTGTAGCAAGCTTCTCAACAAGATGTGTTTGTAACAGGCTTGTAGCAAGCTTGTCAACAAGACGTGTTCGCAACAGGCTTACAGCAAGCTTGTCAACAAGATGTGTTCACAACAGGCTTACAGCAAGCTTGTCAACAAGATGTGTTCGTAACAGGCTTGTAGCAAGCTTGTCAACAAGATGTGTTTGCAACAGGCTTGTAGCAAGCTTGTCAACAAGTTGTGTTCGCAACAGGCTTGTAGCAAGCTTGTCAACAAGATGTGTTCGCAACAGTCTTGTAGCAAGCTTGTCAACAAGATGTGTTCGCAACAGTCTTGTAGCAAGCTTGTCAACAAGATGTGTTCGCAACAGTCTTGTAGCAGGCTTGTCAACAAGATGTGTTCGCAACAGTCTTGTAGCAAGCTTGTCAACAAGATGTGTTCGCAACAGTCTTGTAGCAAGCTTGTCAACAAGATGTGTTCGCAACAGTCTTGTAGCAAGCTTGTCAACAAGATGTGTT